AAAGAAATATGATTGTACGACGACGGCTGATTCCCTTCACTATGCCGGAGTCGGAGCCGGAGTCGGAGCCCTCTCCAAAGAAACCTGAAAGCCTCAGCGACTGCCCTGAAGTACCAAAAAGGCAAACGGAGGTCCGGGCCAGGCCAATGTTCTGATACTCTGAAAATGGTATATTTTTTTGTAATTTCCCAATTCCTTTATTGTAATACAGATAGAATTGCATCGCCAACCCAGTCCTAGACCCAGATTTTTCAATAAAAGTATTTAGCTATTTTTATTTTACTATATTATTTACTGAAAACCATTTCATTTGTATCCCCGCTCGGTAAAATCTTTCTAAAAATAAACAATATTATTTAATACTATATATTATTCGTACAAACCCAATGAAAAATTCCCCTGATCCAGTACGTGTCTTCTCCAGTGTATGCAAATATTTTATGCAAGCACAAAAATAAAGTCATTAAAATTGTAAATACACAAGGGGAAAACGCAGGAGAAGCAGTCCTTCCGAGCAGGAGGTAGCCAGGAGTCAGAGGAGCAGCCACAACAAGAGCTCCACATGCAGGAGGGCGCAGGAGCAGGGGCAGCAGCAGGAGCAGCAGCAGGAGATGACGCGGCCATCCTGTGTGCGTGCAAGAAATGGAAATGCGGTTAATTTCCGTAAAGTATGCAATAATTTCTGCCACTGAGCATAAGCAACAGTAGCAAGTGAATGCAAGTATGCACACACATACACACATACGAGAACGGATGCGGCATACTCGGCTTACATACACATACATACATGAGTGACTGTGCGAGAGTGCGGCAACAAAAGGCAAAACGCAAAGGCACAAAGTAAAATAACTGCCACACGTCCGCCCTCTGGCCTTGCAGAGCCCGAACAAGTAAATCTCTTTGGCCGTCTGCAAAGACGGAACTAACGAACAAACGGACATTCATCAATATAAATCAACCGACGGCCACAAGCCAGGCCCACTACCAGTACCAGGCGGCGACGGGGAGCAGCCCGAGCCACTGCAGTGGCGGAGGAGAAAGCCTCCACCAAGTAGAATAAATAAAAACATTTTTGTATAAAAATTTCTGGCAATCGGTGGGCAAGTGCGGGGGGTCAACCCAGAAAGCGAGGATGTAAAAATGTTGGCCAAAGAAATATTTTCACATTTCTATGCCCTTTCAGAGGGTATAGCGACTGTGGCCAGAAGTTTGTCACAAACGAAACAATTTAAGAATTATCAGATGAGTGCTTCTGAAACCAAAGATTAAACCTCTATCAATACATTATATCACTGTCTAATAATGTAAAAATCGTAGGAATATATTATATATATACCAATGGAATGCTCGATCCAAAAGTGTAACTTAATGTTCGGCCACAGAATACAGAATTTCATTCTTGCTATTTATTTGTGTTCTTATTCGGCAAATGGCAAATGGACGGCTTCGGCTTCGGCTGTGGCCGTTGCATTGTGCACTTTCCTGGTCCTGGACCTGGTCCTAGTGCTGGTCCACCCTTGGTCCTTACTGTCCTTGCATCTGCCGCTCGCTCTGGCAGTTGCCACAGTAGCATTTTCGTTTCATTATGTTCCGCGTGCCTAAAGGATTGCAATATATATTTGAATTTTTTTTTGCTGCTTCCGACTGAAATCGTTTGCATGTTGCAAGGGACTGCAAGGACTACTGTACTGTCGTTGGCACTCGCTGAGGCAGTGGCAATGGGTTGAGTTGGCACACACAAACACACAGAGATACACCACACGCATACTACGAGTACATACAACACAACAGAATCGTTGAGGCCACGCCACGCATTTTGACTTCGGTATTTGCGGCTTTTTATGTAATTCATGGTCATTCCACATATGCACGCAGCATATCTCTCTCTCTCTCTCTCTCTCTCTGTGTGTATTTGTGACTGCATATTTACTGCCTCGAAAAAAGAAAGACGAACAAAAAATAATTGTGCAAGCCTCGCGAGGCTTCGTCCTGATCCTGGCATGCATTTGGGCAAAGAAGCTTCACGAAAATCACGTTATTTATGCGATTTTTCGAGCCATGGCATCCGAGATGATGCCACATGAGGCAATTAAACCCATACAGGCGCACATGCCAAATGTCACAAGCGAAATCCAAGCCTTGTGATTGCAGCAGTCGAGATTAACCGAGAAGAAAACCAAGGAACAGATGCGCCATAAGTAGATATAATTAAGAATATTATAAGTTGACAAAAAAGAATATTTACTGATCTTCACTTAAGAGCTTAAGGAGCAAAACAAGACTCCAAGGACTACAGGGCTCAGACCAAAAGCCAGGGCGTTATTCATCGTACGATTATATTGTCTTTGATAAGACGATAGTTCTGGCTCTCGGGGTCTACTATAAGTATTTAGGGGAATGGTTTTGGTATGTATTTCCAGATCTTCGTAATTTTGAACAATTCTAAAAAACCCACTGGAAAACCCCATTAAGACCCTGTCTCTGCTTCGTCTCTCGAAACACATCAAGTGTATAAAATAATATCGTAAAATAATACTCATTCAATGACTGTAAAAACAACAACACTGTAAAGTAAATAGAAGAGCAGCAGACTTAAATTCAATTGATATGCAAATGCAAAGGCCAGAAAGAGCGCTCTCTTTTTTCGCAGTGCATTTCAATGGCGGTGCATTTTATTTGTCATTTCCGGTTTGTGTCGGAAGTTGAAATTATTGAAATCAAACGGAAATGCAGCGAAGCAAATGCATAAAAAACGCCCAGAGCCAGAGCCAAAGCCGAAAAGTGTGCTTAAAGCACGCACTCGGCGCATGGCATAACGATCCATTTTCCTGTCCATCTGACTGTCGTGTCGTGTGTGCATTTGTTTGTGTCGGGGAGCCCATAAATAAATATATATATAAATTTAAATAAATGCAGCCGCAATACCCACACACACAGTCGAGCAGAGAGACTCTCTGTTCGCTTGTCAATAAATCAGAATACTTATCAACGTCAAACGACCACAAAGACTGCTGGCAAACAACATAAGCGACCAAGGACCAGGACGCAACAGAACCAGAATCAGGACGAGGACCAGTCTGTGCAAGAGCCTGCGACGGTTTATTACGCGCGATTAAATTCATTAAAGAAATATGCCCGAGCCTGCGACATCAAGCGGAAGGAAATCCGACCAACCGCACGCATAAGCACATAGGCATCCCGGCCCAGGCCTCCAACAAAGGACACCCCACCATCTGACAACTGACACTTGCTGCTCTATCTGTGTGCCGGCAGGCCTTCTTACGGCCCACCCAATTTATGGGCCGCCTCTGTTTTCTCGCTCTATCTCGGCCCCAAAACTAAGTCCGCTAATTGCGCCGCCTTAGCCGGAGAGTATCTCGACAAGTCTCCACACACCACTTCAGGCGGCACTCATAATTATGCCAAATTTGCGCCATTTCTTCGGACTGTTGCCTCCTATTGTTTGCGTTATTAGCTGACAATTTTCGAGGGGGGAAGCGTGGGGCACAGGCACGGTGATGCCGAGTGGCATGACTGTGATTAGACAGGGTTTTCGGGTCGCTGTGCAAATGGTGGGATTAGCAGGCGCTTTGTCTTTGGCCGGAGGAGACAGAAACAGCCAATGCTGCTGGGACCGTCGCTCCTCGATAAGCGTCGTCCTGGACACCCAAAGAAGTTGATGTTTTTCTTGCATAATTGTGGCCCTAAGCCATGCGGTTGTTATTACAGGCCAAGAAATCTATGCAAATGCCTAGAGACCGAGACCAAATCGATTGAATAAACGCTTAACTACAAAAAATGTTACACATAATTCCCAGCAACCCAATAAATAAATATTCCCTAAATTCATTCCAACCTAAAGATAAAGAACTTTTATTAGATCCACTCAAAAGAAATTGGAGAGAGCAGAGATACAGCTCTCTTTAAATTAAATCTTTGACTTAAACTAGCAATAATTGAAAGCTTAAATGGTTTAAAAATTGAATTTTTTCTATATTTTAAAAATGTTATGTGTGACTTCCACTTGGTGAACGGACCACCGACCGTCCTTTTGTGATCCATTTAAAAATGAAGAAAATATTTTAGAATTTACCTGAAATCCCCTGTAAAAGCTTTTGTCAACATCGATGCTCTGGCGTGACCAAATTCTTTGTTATATTTTTTCCGAATTTTTTTGCCCAATTGTTCAGTGTGTCGCCATGGTGGTGGCGTGCACAAAGCGCTGATTGCACCGCCTCCGCCCCCATACAATAAAGCTTTGCAGCCGTCACACACCGACCAAACGCTTTTTCCCTGCTGACATGTCCCGCCAGGGCCCAGCAAAAAAAGAGATATGCATATACATACATATATATCCAATAGGCCAGCATCAGCATCGGCCGTAGAGTGTTTTCTGGCGTTTTTCTGTAATTCGGTTGTAGTTTTTTCCAAGGTAGTTTTTTGGGATTGGTGGAAAACTGGAAAAAAAATTGAAACTGCCTGCATAAAGGCGCTAGCATATTAAAGGCTTAAACCCACTCAGCGGCAGATGCCATATTGCTGAAATAAATACACAGAGATTGGCATGGCCCGCATACCTCATGTGGAGATAAAATTCGTTTATGGAAATGCATTTCATTCAAGAGTCACCGATGCCATTTTTTCCCCCGTTCAAATTGTCCACGATCGAGGGTCATTTAACCAAACTTTATTAAAGATATGTTTGCAAATGGACATACGAATATGGGCCTACTTATCTCATCAGCTGAACCAACTGAACTGGATCATGGCTTGCCTCTCCGCGCCGAAACTTTCGGTTTAGGCCTGTTTGGGATTGCAAAAAAATACGAATCCCAGTCGGCGTAGTGTATTTTTTTGATCTCCAAGCTGTTGTAGTCTCAGTTTGACCTCATTCAGTTTTTAGTCTCGCTCCGACCAACTCCAAATTGTGAAAAATTATCTATAAAATTTTCTCAAAAAAAAAATTGTCGAAAAACCTTTTTTGATACAAATTATTTTCTCTTTTGAAATTTATTTCGGCCCTTTTTAATTCAATAAAATGTGTTCTCCATGCGGACCGGGATGTGGACCCTGCGACCCCTGCTGTGGGCCCTTCGAGTGCTCGCCCAAGTGCTACAACTCCGCACAACTGGAAGCCTTGCCGCAATGTGCCCCGCGCATTCCACCCCCCTTCCCCAAGTGCATCACCGTGCAGCAGCCACCTCGCATGATCTGCAAGAAGCGGGTAGTTTTCACCGAGAAGATCGTGCCCGAACCGATGGTCGTTAACCGATGCCGGCAGATCACAATCCCAAAAGTGGTGGATGCCACGCGCGTCATCAAGGTGCCGAAGCTGATTTGGGTCTCCCAGATGGTGCGGGAGCCACGCGTCATCTACTACCCGTCGATGATACCGGACCCGTACGTCGTCTGCTACCCGAAGCGGGTCTGCGAGCCGAGGGAGGTCTGCCAGTCGATCCTTTGCCAGCCGAAGCCGCAGACGATCGACATCCCTCCTCCGAGGGAGTACTGCTGCTACCCGAACGGACCCATCAACTACAAGCCGAGTGCCGCCTGTCCGCCGTGCCCCATTGGGCCCTGTGCCCCGGGCGGAGGCTGCTGCCCCTTGCCGTGCTTCTCCACCAACCAGTATCCCGTGGCCGAAGGTCGCTGTGGTCCTTGCGGGCCCTGTGGACCAGGATGTGGACCCTGCGGACCGTGTGGTCCTCGTGGTTGCGGACCCTGTGGCCCAGGAGCATGTGGGCCGTGTGGTCCGGGCTGCGGACCGTGTGGGCCACGTTGTGGTCCCTGCGGTCCATGCGCTGTTCCGAATTGCGGACCCTGCGGTCTGACCATGCCTTCGGGACCCTTCATACCGGCTCCCTGTGGTCCTTGCGGAACGGGCGGCTGTGGTCTGAACGGCCCCTGTGGACCATGCGGTCCTTGTGGACCCTGCTCGCCGCCATGTCCTTACGAATCCCCCGAGTGTGGACCCTGCTACCCGTGCTCCCCCACTCCTTGGAACACACATTGTGGACCGGTCGGACCGTGCGGTCCCCAAGTGCCCTGCGGTCCTTGCGGTCCATGCTAAGCCGCCAAAGAACCCTGGAGTACACGTTGTCGCCCTGGAGTGCCCTGTGGTCCTTGTTAATCGGCTCAACATGGCTCTCAAACTGATGACTGCAACCGTTTGGGGAGTCCTGCTACAACATTTTCCAAGTCTACAGTATATTTGCATTGTCAAAAACTGCTTCAAAACGCAAGGGCTGTAAAATAAAAAAAAAAACCTTTTAGCGGAATATTCACCGCCTACTATTTTTCATAACTCATAAAGCCCACCACTCAGACGAGACACTCGTTTACGATAAGTGGAAACGATAAGAAATCATTCCTGTTTTTGAACGACGGCAAGATATCGATACCGATAAATACAGGAAAAACAATCGAATGCATTTGCCCGTTCGCAAGCGACGTCGATGGACAGGCAGGGCAGGCTCAAGAAAAATTGGAAGCTGCTCACCATTTACGAATAAGATTTCACCGCTGTTAGATTTGAATTGAGGTCTATAATGTTCAAAGTAAGAGGGCTTTAACGGCTAATTAAATACGAATAGTGTGATGCGCCCTCGACGACAATTCCAACTGGCATGCGATGCTACCCGCTCGACTATTATTTGGGCTGAGAGTACGAAAATCACGAAGCCATGCAATATAAGCAGTAAGACTTTTACACGTGTAATTATAATTAGCCCAATAGTGCAAAATTTAGGAGAATTCGGATAGAATAGACTTTATAAGAAGAGATTATAGGAAATATCTTAAGAGCTATTGGACACTGCTGCTCCGAACAAAGACAAATTGGATCAAATAGTGAATTACGATTATAGGGATATTATAATTTATTAATTTAATTATAGCCGGTACTAATTATATTCATTACACTGGAGAAAAAAGCATGATGGTGGGATATCAAGGACGCAAAAATGTATATTGGGTTACCCAGCAAAAAAATTTTTGCCATAATCCATAATTTACAGCTAGTGGTGCAACAGGAGGGTAAAGCACCATTATTTTTCATCAATTGCACTGTCTACTGTATCACATTGTCATCCACATGGCACGAGCCTACGTAGACGTACAATCTGACACAGTCTTGAACCGACCCCGTCTTGAATCGATCAACTTACTCATCGCACACCCTTCGCTAATATTCTACCACAATAAATATCCCAAACTAAACAGCCATAGATCTATCCAATAAATAGATCGGAAACTACGCTGCTCAAATAGCTAAATAGACCCTCCTCGTCCTCCTGCTTTCATTAAAAATGTTGCCTTTTCACAAGATATAACTATAGAGCATGAACTCCTGGCCACATTGATCATCAAAATATATGACAATTTTTAAAGGCAAAACATTTTTCTAACCCGAGTTTTAGAGTACACTGGTAGTCTTTTTGTTTCGAATCAAGAAGGCTTTACCATCCCAATCACATGTTACTGTTCGAGCTATAGCCAGATCTCATTTCGATTTCAGTTTCGCTCCGACAAAGATCTAAATTTTAGTAAAAAATTTAGCTGCTTAAAAACATACAAAAAAAAAGATTAGTTTTTCTCGCTTTGATATCGTTTCCAATTTTCGACAAACAAAATGTGTTCTCCATGCGGACCGGGATGTGGACCCTGCGACCCCTGCTGTGGGCCCTTCGAGTGCTCGCCCAAGTGCTACAACTCCGCACAACTGGAAGCCTTGCCGCAATGTGCCCCGCGCATTCCACCCCCCTTCCCCAAGTGCATCACCGTGCAGCAGCCACCTCGCATGATCTGCAAGAAGCGGGTAGTTTTCACCGAGAAGATCGTGCCCGAACCGATGGTCGTTAACCGATGCCGGCAGATCACAATCCCAAAAGTGGTGGATGCCACGCGCGTCATCAAGGTGCCGAAGCTGATTTGGGTCTCCCAGATGGTGCGGGAGCCACGCGTCATCTACTACCCGTCGATGATACCGGACCCGTACGTCGTCTGCTACCCGAAGCGGGTCTGCGAGCCGAGGGAGGTCTGCCAGTCGATCCTTTGCCAGCCGAAGCCGCAGACGATCGACATCCCTCCTCCGAGGGAGTACTGCTGCTACCCGAACGGACCCATCAACTACAAGCCGAGTGCCGCCTGTCCGCCGTGCCCCATTGGGCCCTGTGCCCCGGGCGGAGGCTGCTGCCCCTTGCCGTGCTTCTCCACCAACCAGTATCCCGTGGCCGAAGGCCGCTGTGGTCCTTGCGGGCCCTGTGGACCCTGTGGGCCCTGTGGGCCCTGTGGGCCATGCGGGCCGTGTGGGCCGTGCGGGCCGTGTGGGCCATGTGGGCCGTGTGGACCGTGTGGGCCGTGTGGACCAGGATGCGGACCCTGTGGTCCTTGCGGACCTTGTGGACCCGGACCCTGTGGATATGGTCCTTGCGGTCCTTGTTAACCAACAAAAGTGCAGGTCCTTGTGGAGTCGAATCTTCTGTCGAACCTTCCGTCCCAAGAACACTGCTCGTTTTCCGAGTCTCGAAAATTACTGCAAGCCCGTGATGAAATTTACATTTGTCATTGTTTCGGAAATGCATTTGATTAAATATATTTGATGATAGCGAGAAAAATCGTTTTGCAGTTCGTTGAATCAAGTCGGTCGGGGGCCATCTGTCATTTGAACTCAAATTCTGTCTGGATGCCTTGCCTCCAGTAGGCGGAGATTCTCTTTGTCTGCCACAATGTCAACGAAAATAAATTCCACATTAATTCCGATTATGTGAAATTCATTAACTTGGCGAAAAAAAACAGTGCAAATTAGTAATGGGTGGGACGCGTGGGAGAGCCGCGTGTGGACACGTGTTCGGCGATTCATAATGGAACGCCCACGGCGGGCAGAGGCGGCAGCCAAAATGCATGAGTGCACGGCCCATACATCCTGTCAATCCTCGTATACTTATGCGCATCCGGTTTGAAATGCAGCAAACAATGCAGCAGACACACCGATACAAATGCCATGGCAGTTGCAGATACATACAGCCGTATATCTGCATCTCTGCCGCTGTCTCTCTGCCTGTCTGTCTGTCTGTCTGCTCCCCGCTGGTTGCCATTCGACCGGAAGAAATTATTGTTATTCGAATTGATCTGCCAGCAGTCTCTGTCGCTGCTTTTGCACTGATGCCGTTGCTGCCGTTGCACTGTCGCTGCTGCCATTGCGGTTTGCGATTTGGCCTAGCGATAGGCCTTGGCTGCTGCCACTGAAGCGATATCTCTGCGGCCCCGCCTTTTACTGCCAGCTCTCTGATAACGTCAACGCAGCAACGGGTATCCAGCGCCACAGTCTGTGCTATTTATTTGCGCTCACATATGCATAAATAACGTGGACTGAGAGGGGGAGGGCGAGGCGCCTGATCCACCCCCACATCCCACTGCTGCTTGGACAATAAATTGCAAAAATATTATTTTATCAACAATAATTAATTAAATGCACTTAATTGCGTGCCGCAGTCGCAGTTGCTGTTGCAATTGCTATTGCAGTTCCTTTTTTTCATTTTTTCTGTTTTTATACACTTTCAGAGGGTATTATAATTTGACCAGGAATAACGAAAGATTTCCCCGTCTGTTGGGTTTATCTTCTCTCAGCACTAAAGATATCTGGCAGAATCTTTGCACAGTTCAAATGAGGAAGAGAGAGTTGTAAAGATAGAATCTGTTCAAGTGCGGGAAACCCTTTTAAAGTTCCAAAGAGTATCCGTTGCTTCGGGCCCAAATCTTTCCCTCCATTCCTGTTATTTATTTGGTGTTGGTTCTGTGTTGTTTCTTTTTTTTGTACCGCATTGTCCCCTGCTCGACCTTGTTTTTCTGCAGCTGCAGCTGCTGCTCTTCCTGATGGGTGGACCGGGAGTCTGTGGACTGGGGACTGGGGACTGGGTGAAACATGGTCATCTGCATCTGCATGCATATGCTTGAGCAGCGTTGTAAGTAGCCATGTAAGTGGACAAGTGGCCGTCGGGTAACAGTTGCCGTTACTGCCACTCCTCTCACAGCCCCGTTCCGTGGCTGGCACTCTTCGCGATTTATGCGTATTTTTAAGTGGCATTAAGTGCGCGTTAACATCTTATGAAGCCAACGCGGAGTCAGCCATAAATTATTACAGTCACAACAACAGCTGGATGGCCATTAAACGACACGAAATACAAACGCTAATTGACGAGAGTTCGGGCCAAAAGTGTGGGCTTTAAATATGTGAAGCAGGTCCGCGGCTAATTGGGACAACTGCAATTGCAACTGCAACTGAAAGTGGAGGTGGCATTGCAAATGCCACACCAGTAAGCTGCGATGCTGAGGCATCTGGTGGCTTCCATTTCCATTGCTGGGATTGTTAATGAAGTTTGTAGCTGGGAAACATGGACATGCATCTGCGGCAAAAGGAAATATTATGCATACGCCATGTTTGCCAGTTGTTGTTTGGGATAAAAGTTTTCCACAAATCCCGTGTTCTTCTTCCCCTGGACATTGCACGTTCTTTGAACACATTTAGTCTCAAAGTATCTGTCTGTATCTGTGTATCTGTGTATCTGCGTGTGTGTCTGTGTATGGTAATTTACAGTCCCCAGTGTGTACCCGCACGTGTGTGTATGGGTATGGGTAAATTGTTAAATTTATACACAAAAGAGAAACGCTGCAGCGCTGTGGCTGTGGCTGTGCTGCAACTGCCAAAGTAATTTGCGATAAGTGCGTCAGATTCTTTGGGGAATATTCGACCACACAGTAGCCCCACAGCAGCGGCAGCGGCAGCAGCATGCAGCATGCCCCAGCGCCACCAACCACGACAATGATAATGCAACCACAACAACAAGTAAAGTAAAAAGTGAATATTTATTTGGCTTTTCGGTAGGGCTCCGCAATACTCTGCGATCTGAGGGCCAAGATTAAAGGAGATTCCGCTCCAGACCAAATTAAGTTTAGCTACACTTTGATTAAAGGATATTGCTGGATATTGCTGCAAGGAGTTTCGAGTTGAAATGTCAATTCGGATAAAGAGGGAAAATAATGCCCTTGTGCATGGATTATTTATGGATCTACAGTGCGTTACAGAAGCGTACAACTATTTATGATTAAATTTATAGCAGGTATTGCAAGTATTCCAATTTTGTAATAAAAATGTATTATCATTTTAATATTACAATTTATTTAACAAATTATTCAAAATATTCTTAAAATTTGCAATATATGTATGTATGTATGTATGTTTGAATTACACACATGAAACGCACTATGCTGCGCACTATGCCCAAAGGACAATGGCAATCAGGCGGCGGCTCTTGGCCGGAGTGAAGATGGAGAGCTTCCCAAAAATCCCGAATACATTTCATTTGTGGCTTGTCCTGCTCGCCACAGTGTCTCTCTCTCTCTCTCCCTGTCTCTTTCCCGCTCTCCCCATAAGTGTGTGTCTTTCCTCTTGAAATAAGTCACAAGTGTATGCATGTATGTGTGTGTACATAAGTAAGTATGTAAAAAAAGGCAATTTGTATTTCAGCTTTTTTCGCGCGCCCTCTCGTGCCTCTTGCCCTCCTTTGGGCTCCACGCATTGCTGTAATAATAAATTGCATAAAAGTATGCAATGAAAATAAAAATGCCAGTGCGTAATTAATGAGTCAAGGTGGTGTCATATGGTGCTACCCACACATGCACAGGCACAGACACAGTAAGTCATGGGGCATGGGGCATGGGGCACGTGGAGAGGGACACCCAGAGACATGCCACGACTTTGCCGTACAGTGCGTGTTAAGTCGCGTATTTCATGGCATTTATTTATTATGCACAAAGTGCCACCAGAACGAAGGGGGCTGGAGGCACGCACTCTCCACCGAAATTATTGACTCAATTTGTAAGCTTGCATACACACAGATACACCGCCAGTCAGCCCGATATACGCACACCCATAGACATACCCCTTGACTCCCGAGACACGTACGTGTGTAAGGCCTCGCAGGCGCGTTAATTGCTTATGGGGCGAACATTATTCAGCTGTCATTCGGCGGCTGGCGATGGTTCTGGCAATTTTGGCCAAAAGCAGAGAAGAAATGGCCAAAGTTGCGGCTTTGGCAAACAATTAGGCAGCTAATTTCCAGGCGGCTCTGGCAGGACGGCAGGCCAAAATGCTGAAGCGCGACCTAATCCTGTCTACTGTCAGGGAAAGAGGCAGGGAAAGAGCAGGAGACAGAGGCGTTGTCAGTCAGCCAATCCTCGAGAGCAGCAGCGGCAGCAGCAGCAGCAGCGAAGAGATGGAATTTGGTATGAAATTTGGGCCGGCAGCTAAATCACTGCCAAATCCTTTTGACAAATACGCACACAAGGACACGCAGACACGACTAAGCTGCTGACTGGGTGCCTGCTGAGCTGAAAGGAAACGGAAACACACACTCACACACACACACAAACACTAATATGGCAAGTTATTCAAAAGGCATTCCAGATCGAGATAAATGCACTCTGGAACTGAAGCTAGAACCAGAGAGATGCCAGGCGCCTGTCAACACCGAAAACTAAAAAGGTGACAAGGACAAAGCGGCCACGCAACGCACATAGGAAGGATCTCCTTCCTGGTTCCTCCTCGCTGTTAACCACAGGCAGGAGGAGGTGGTGGATGCCAAAGCACATGGCAGCTGTCATGCGTGCGCCATGGAATGGCTCCGATTTCTACGGCGCTGCTGCAACGCTGCTGAAACGCTGCGGATCTGCGGCTTACGGCTAAGTGGCGCAAGTTGCAGCGCTGCATAGGCGAGGCGCATCAATCAGGCAAAGGCATCCCCGACGAAGCCGTCTCCTGTCAGCCGTAATTTACGCGCATTCACGCCGGCACTCCTCCTCGTGCGCTACGGCAAATGGCAAACAAAAGACTTAGACACAAGAGGGAAGGACACATGGCAGGGGTAAGCGAGGTAAGCGAGAGATAGACAGACAGACAGCCCGTCACAAATCGTTTTGATTTTTCGCACATACGTGACTGATTCGCTCCGGACTCCCCTCCGGCAGAGACGCAAGTCTTCCGATGATTTGGCATATGACAGAAATCTCTGCCAAAGATGCGCTGATGCTGCGAAAGAACCAACCTCACAGAGTAAATGAACGATGCACAGGCAAAGTCAGACAGGATGCAGCCATGGATGTGGTGTGGTGTGGGGTACGGAAATCATCTTGAAAGAGTCCCCTGAATGCGTTCAGACTATTACTAAAGTTGGCTCTCATTATCTGATTATTCAATTTCATCTGAACATTATCCCATTCTTAACATGTAAACTCATTTTAAGTCCTTCATTATCCCCGTCTTAATGCAAACTAATTCGAGTCTTAATTCCAAACATTGCTACGTAGAACATTTGTAATTAATTCAATGGAAAATAATCGTACAATAGTTTCATATGGTATGACGTGCTTTGGCTAACAAAATCAATTCCTTTACAGGTGATCATTCGATTTTGGGTAAGTCGCAAACGATTCGCAACGTGTTTAACAACATTGAATCGACGTTATTATGGCCCGGAATTGAATTATTATAACTGTTTCTGTTGTCAGCAGCGTTGCCGCCGACATTGTATCTGTGCGGGTGCAAGGGTGTGTGGGTCTGAGCATCAATAATGTGTATCTGTGCGACTCTAATAATGTGTGTATTGTGTGTGCGGTGCCCTGTGTTGCCTGGCAAGTACGTGACAGACGCAGTTTGGCGCGATTAAATTACGTTTATGATTATATTTTGTTACAAATACAATGGCCAACCCCCACACACACACACAGCAGGCACCCACACAACAGACACATACTGTCATAAACACATCCACGTGTGTAGAGCAGACAGGATAGTCGCCACATTGTATTGAAGTGAAAATGTTTAACAATTGTGGCGAGAGAATGGCAACAATAGGTCATTGAAGCATGCTCCTGCTGATGGATTTTCCCTATTAAACGTTAACTAAACAACGACTTTTAATTGAATTTTAATTAAATCAGCCCGCGGGCGTCTCTATCCATCCCGTCGCGTTTCGCCACCCCCAACATCCCTCAGATTAACCGCACTTTAGGCAAATGGCCTGGGTGGGTACTCAACCTCAACACTTTCTTACAAACTCAGACACTTTTGTGCTTCAATGAACCACTCGAACTGCACCTCAAAGTGCTCCCCCACTCCTCGCCTGCCACAGAGGCAGTAGAACCTCACGATGCCGGCTCTCTTCAGTGGTCGTCGTTTTGCCGGAGCTGACATTAAATATCATTTCATCTGACGCTTATTGCTTATTGCACTGCACCAGGGCAAAAACAGGCAAAACGGAGGATGCTGCTCTTACACATAATATGGAATTAATAACAATCATACGCCACGTTGCCCCGTCTGCCTGCCTGCCGGCCTGCCTGCCAGCCAACCCGTTGCCATTTGCCGCTGACAGGAGGAGCGCGCATTTGGGTCTACTATAAGTTCTGCTTGCCCAAGATTTCTAAAACTGTCAGAAATTGCAGTAAAATTACGCAGAGCAAAGGCATCGACGGAGTGCGGAAAGGGCAAGGCGCTGGAGCGCAGCTGCCAGAATGCTTATTAAAATATAAATATGCTAAAACAAAAAGCGCGTGCGGACGGCAAATGGACGAAGGGCGAAAGAACATAACACACACAACACTCGCAGCAAAACAGAAAGCAACACGGTGGCAGGCTGGCACACGGGGGGCAGACCAAGGCAGAGCCTGGACAGAACAGAGTCCAAAAGCAAGGCAGAGCTCGACAGAGCCAGAGCCAGAGCCAGAGCCAGAGCTTTCCTTGCAACCGGCCAAAGTTAAAAAACTAAAGTTTTATACTATAAAATAATTTCAACTACTTGAAATAAGCACGCGCCACTGAGGGTTGAGGAGATCTCAAGGACGAGTAATAGAGGATGGGGGTACATACATATACACAACAGCAGGGAAAAAGAACAAAGGCGAAGTACAAAAATTTACTAGAAAACACAACTAAAGTGGAAATTTCATGCGCGCAGTGGAAACTTTAGCACTTTTCCCACCAATCCCCCCCATCCACCATCCAATGGCAGTCTCCCTGGGGGAACTCTGTCAACCCACAACCAACAACAAGCAACCCAACCATTCCAAGGGGCCAAGGCAGAAAGTTCCTCTTGGCAAACAATGCACAGTTATTCTTTTGGGCGAATTTCGGACCAAGGTTATTTCGATATGTATTAAGGAGGAGTGGGGCAAGGAGTACTGCGTTCAGAAATTGAAAAACAAGAATGAATGGCAAAAGCTTCGAAGCCACGAACTTTGGGATACCCTAGCTGAACTGTTGTTCCAAAGGATACGATCTACTGACGATCCTCTACACAAATTTATGGATTTATGCTTATTAAGAATAGACCCATCCTCCTATCCTTAACTATCTGTAGGTTAAACTATAGTCAAAATCTGCCTTTAAGATTACTGCCCTCTACCATTCATTATCCCCTGAAATTTCCCATGAAATTGTATATTCTATCATCCACTATTTTAATTTTTCACTCGCCTGTATTTCGCTTAATTGCTAATATTTTAATCCATATTTAGCAGATAATTGCTAATTAATTAAATACATAAATATCTTCGTTTATTCATGGAAACATTTGATTAAAATCTGGGAATATTCTCTGAAAGGTATACAAAGATGTATATACCCGAAGCTTATGCATTTTTGATGCAGCTCTTGGCCTGGTTCGTAATCATTCGAATTTCATTAGGAAATGCACACAAAGAATACCAACTGAGACCAGCGTTCCTGTTTCTGTTTCTGTGCCTCTACCTCAATGCATTTGAGGCTCAGCAATTAGACAAACATTCCACCGTGGAGCGGGGAGGCAGGCGGGCAGGCAGGCAGACTGGAAGGCCGGGCAACAACTCCAACAATCAATCAATTAGCCAATTAGTCGGCAAACTCAACACGCTCATCAATTCCCATGCAAAACTAACTAATTTGCGCACACAGCTAATCAAATTTAATTAAGACATCCAGTAAATATCGTGACCGGTCGAAGGCAAGGCAAGGCATTACGCATACGCCTCTACGGCTCTCCGCCTACGCCTACGCCTTTCGGTACGGCCTACCCAACTATCTATCCGTCCATCTGTTGTCTGTTTGATTTACCCGTGAAATATGGTCTCTGTACACGGAATAAGACCACACACCACCAAAACTCTCCCCTCCTCTCCACAACTGAACTCAGCGTAGCATTTTCGGGTTATCAATGCAGCAAATGCGTGGCTTGGTGTGGTTCCGGCGCCTAAAAGCGTGCACCGCAAAAAGGCTCACCTCCAGACAATGCGTGCCACGCCCCGGAGCCTTCATCGAGCTGTGCTTTTGTTCAAAACTTTCAATCCCGTGCCGTGCCGGGCCGTACCGACAGGTGCTCAGGCACATATGTGGCATTCCCTCGAATCCAAAACGGACCTCCGGCCATTTTAGAGTTCTGTTTGGTTTTTGTTTTTTTTGTTTTTCAGTTGCCAACTTGTTAGCTGTTTATTTGCGCATTATAGACTACTGCCAACTACTGCCTGCCAGCGTCCTACCGAAAAAGCCAAGCAATTCCTGGATACTGTTTGCATTCCGACTTGGTTACCCCCCGGATCCGGAAACGGGCCCGTGCGTTCAGATAATCAACTAAACACTTCATTATTTCGTCGGTGGCGGGCCAGGGGATGGTGCAAATTGTTTTACCAATGCGTTCCACTCGTCCATTCACCCAACCAATGGCCCCACAGAGAGGAGAGGGATTCCGCGAAAATCCGTTGGTTTGTTTCGCGCATTTTCTATGCACGCGTTTCCCAGTTTTCCTGTTTGTTTTTTTCTTTTTTTAATTGAATGATAAAGCATCGTTGCCAGTGCCGATTCTGATCCGCAGTAAGAGGCATTAATTTAGATTAGCGTACGAAAAGTGCGGGTTGAATTTTTCCAAATGGTTTTTCCTGTTTTCTGTGTGTGTGTGTAAATAAGTAGTTGTTGAAAGGCCACGCACCGCCCTTTGAATGAGATTGCATACATTAGATTGCATAGAGGGTATAGCAGCACTCGCAGTAGCAACAAAGGTGCAGAGAGCAAAGTTGCCTAATAGTCAAAGTTACACTGAATTTACAACAGTGCAAATTAATGGAGTCGAGGGTCGTAGGGAAGGAAATCCAATACTGCGTAGCACTGTGGAGAATTTGCAGAGCCAATAGACAGAGTACTATTCCGAACAGAAGATGCTCCTTGCAGTCCCTTCTTTTATTATTAAATTCCACTTTCAATTTGCATAGATAGCTCCCACGGGAAAGATCACGACCTTTCGCTGCTCATTCAACAGCAAGGTCTCGTAGTGATAACCACGACTCATATGGGCACTATAGCGACGGCACTCGAAGGTCCGTTTGATGGGCTCCAGGTCCACGTCGAAACAGTTGATTTTGAATGTGTCGGCATTGAGTACGGCCACCATGTCGTACATGCTGGCGATCTTCTCGTTCCAAATGCTGACCGAGGCAATGGGCAGGGCTTCCTTCTGATAGACCAGGGTGGCCTCGAGGGGAGTGCGGAAGATGTGCATGGTGACGATGCCCGTGGGACCATCGCCCAGATAGTGGTGGGGTACATCGCGTACGATCATGGGCGTGGCATTGGCCGGCACATTGTCCGGATTCCCAGCCACGATCTTTGCCTTCAGCTGGGCCAATTTGCTGAGAGTGCGCAGATAGTTCGGGTGATTGGCGACCCGGGGATCCAATGGATGCAGAAGGTCGACTATTCGGTTGGCGAGCTCCTCCGCTATGCTCTCCTGCACCAGCACCGTGGCCACGGCATCCAGGGCAAAGGGATTCTGCAGCGAACCAACCAAATGATGGATTGCACTATTGACATCGCCGTCTTCGAAAATAATCATCAGGCAAGGCGAATTCCAGGCATATTTCACATCAGCTACCAAAGGCTCTTCTTCGGTTTCGGTTTTAGCAGAAGTCTCCTCCACATCATCCACTTCAGTCTTCACTTCCAACTGAGCTTCGAGGTTCTCCTCCTGTTCTCCCTCACCCGTTGGTTCTATGGCTTCTGTCTTTACATCCTTTGAAGACACTCCTGGTATGCCCCTGCCATCGTCCCAGACATCAGGCAATCGAACCTTATCCTCCTTCTCGTAGGGTAAGTTGCGCACCACCATATCGTAAGTGATGATTGGTTTGAACATTCGCAGTCTACTCCCATCCATAATTTACGTCTATTATTTTCGAAAATTAATATATATGTATTGTTAAAAATATAACAGAAAAATGATTGAGTACTAGTTTAGTTCTCTGTTTTATCTCTTGGTTTTTCGACCCCTTTTTGGATGAATAAATCTCTCAACCAACACCAAATAAAACACAATCGAATTGCACAAAAACCACTCTGAATATATTTTGACAATGCCATCGACCGCAAAGGTTAATGCACGCAAAATATTACCCAAAAATCCCGCACTCTACATTCGCGCAAGTGTTAAACAAACTGCGGCGTGCACATTTAATAGAATAATGCAAAAATTGAATGAAAAACCTCACATAATATTTGTGGAAAATTTGTGCAAATTTTCAAATCACATACCGAACGGCGATAATAAACAATGGCCGCCGCATGATGGACGGCAGGACTGCAGGTGGGGGAGTACATAAAGCGGAATAACAATAAGCAGCGCCAAATATGCGAAAGTTTCGAATGTGAGTGCTGCGACATCTGTTGGGGCTCCGATTGGGGTCCAAATTGATGTCCTCCCTCGCTGCTCGTGTGCAAACATGAAGGGGGTTTATCCGTAATTAACAAATGTCTGACGTACGGCAGGCCAGCCATTAGCTTTAATTTGCTTTAGTTTCGGTACTATCCAATGGAAGATTTGGCGGGGAGTCAAGAAGAGTCTGTGCTCGAGAGTTCATTTGTGGATACCCAGCTTAAGCGTCAGAGGGAAAGAATAAAACATTTTCGTAACTAATAACCCCGAAATCTTACCAAAGAAATGGCAGAACATTATGGATTCGCTTTTTTTGGGGCTCACATTTAATGCATTTCTTTTGAACAGGCAATTAAGATGGTGGAAACGATTTAAATATGTATTTATATTTTTTTAATCGCTGGCGTTGAATATCTCGATTAAATCGGACTTCCAGCGCATGCAGGTGGCGCGCATACGAACCCAAGCATTCGCGGCAGAATCCATGGCAGGACGGACATCCACCTTACCGTCATAGTAGTCGATCACATACCGCACCTCTTTTTTGCCACAACGATCGACAATCCAGTCATGGCGATCAAACGGGAGCTCGTGTCTGCAAATGCTTGAGATTAGGGCATTGTATGGAAAATGTTAAATAATAGTTACCCAAACCAGCTGCGGAAACGGGCACGGGGACTCAAGTCGTTTTCCTTGCCGACAAAACTTTTTAGGCGCAGATCGCCAGACTTGTTGCCACGCATTGCCTCCCATTTGAGCACCTTTTGCCACGCCTCCTCGGTATTTTCTTTGCGGATGCGTACAGCATCCCCAACATCCGTTTGCTTCACGTTGGCACTCTTCCAGTTCCAAACCTTGCCCGGTTCTTTGGGCGAAGACGAAGATTTGTTACCGTCTCCATGTTGCTGCTGCTGCATGAGGGGCTCGGGCGACGGTGAGCCACCAGCCGGACCAGCGTTAGAGCTGATGTGGTTACCCATTCTTTATCTTTCTAAAAGAATGAGGCCACAAAATAATGTGTTACGGGTAGAATTGTTCGCTTCCCTTCCCTGACTTACTTAATTTTTTTGATGACGTTCCTTACTAAGTCTTTACCGAGTTTGGGAAAGTCAAATTTTGTTAGATGTCACAAAAAAATTGAAATTACTATACGATAGTACTGACTGAAAGACCGAATCGTTCTGAAATTTGTTTAGTTCACAGATCAAATTTATAAACTTTTCGTTGACTGCTCTGATTCGCTTGCTTTGTTGCTCCGAAAACAAGGCGTTTTACAATACTGACATCAATGACCAATATTTTTTTAGATAGAAATAAGATTTTGTTGTCATAAAAAGTAAGGTCTTTTAGTTGTTGACTGAGACATTGCAAGTGTAGGTTTAATTGACCAGCGAAAAGCTGTGAGTAGAAAGAGCATAGCCAAGACGCTGGTTCCAGTGCTGGAAAATTAGGCCAACATTTTTTTACTGCTCTGGCAACCCTTCTAATGGTTCATACTGATGAAAATTGTTAGCTGGAACAGATTTCGCCGCAAAATGACGGCCCCAATCCTCAGAACAGGCCAGATATCATTAGAAGTATGTTAAATAGCCAAAGCCCAAACGGAACACTCGGTTCGTTGACCCAAAGAAGAGATTAGAGATTAATGCCCAACATATTTCAATTTATTTTCCCAATGAAGAGCCGAGCAGAAGCCCCTCAACAATCGCCATCCGTTTGTATCGTTGCATTCGTCGCATCTGCGTGGCATCATCGACGAACTCCTGATAGCTATCGAAGATGGGGGGTCCTGCCACCACTGGCTGCACGTCTGCGGACCTATAGCGATAGCCTGCATTACGAGCTGCTACCATGGCCAAGCGGTTCTCTCGTTCACTACGCCGACGGGCCAACTGCCGAGCGGTGGCCGGCACAGAAACACATTTAGATTTCGATTTCATTGTCTTTGGTAAGTCTGGTAATTTAGAAAATATGAAACTGAGAATTAGACAACGTGCAAATGGCCTGCTAAGACCGGACATTTCCCATTTCCCAGCATCTGTTTCTGGGTACTGCTCCGGCGGCAAATAAATATTAATGAAATGCATTTCATCAGCGGTACAAAATGTGGAAGGACTTAACTCTTGACTTCACTTGTATAAAATTTCAAATGCAATTACGTTCAGCATTTGTCTGGGTCTGCCTTTGGGTTTTGGTTTTTGTGCTGCTGCACAAGTCAAGTCCGGAGTCAAGTCCATTGTCATCTAATTGACAAATGAATGACTTGATTTTCCCTGACAGCATTTGATTCGATGCTGCTGCAGTCGGCACAGACTACGATCCTGAGCCAGGACATAACCATTTTACACTCATTAAGTTTAATTACATATTTTGCAGGGCCCAGTCCGGGGCACACAACGCATTCCATCAGGCAATCTGCAGCACTTGCAGATGAATGGAAGAACAATAGAGTTGGAGATTCAGATGGAGCTGAAGCCGAAGGCTAAGCAGCTTTGCTTAATTAATCCTCCATACTCTCTGGCCAAGAGGCATAAGCCAAATGCCAAGAATTATGTCACAGATGGAAGCATCTACAGGGATAGATATAGGGCACAGAGCTCTCTACTTGTGTTCATTTTTTGAATTAATATGTACTGTGATTTGCTTGGAGCTCATTAATAACCATCAATTATCCGAATGATTTAATTATTAGTGGCAGTAATCAATTATCCCAAAGGTGATCGATTGCCAGGCCCACTGACTCCTCATGGTTTCAACCCTTTTCAGAGCACACATCATTTGTAGCAAACAAAAAAAAAGGACATCTAACAAATCATTAACCATTCATTGCGTATGCATTCCAGGACACTGGGAGCGACTCCTCCTCACACTTTTGTCCGCTTCCAGATCGTAAAAACGATGCTCGTTAGAGGCAAAGTTTTATGCGTTTTATCACATGACCCCCCGACCCCGTTTTGGGTGGAGGCACCACCTCTGAGCCGCTTTCGGTGTAGTCTCCCGACGCACGTAAAACCAAATCAGGCAAATGTCTAAGGACAGGGAGAGGAGTGGAGTGTGGAGTGGAGTGCTTACAGCTCCTAGATTTTTATACAGACCGAGCTGCATGATTGCATTTTATGTTTGTCTTAATTTTTTATGTCTACTTTGCGAGTGCGCGGGGCCATAAATAAAGCAACAATCAATTTTCATACGCACTCTTGTGCGACATCGCATTGGGTGTATGTATGTGTTTTTTTTTTGCCGAGGATATATGTATGTATGAGTGAGTGTGCGAATGTGGGAACACGCAACTTGAGTCGTAAAAAAGGCAGCAAAAGGAGCAACCGAATTGTAATCGTATATTTTAACATAATATTATTGCACACACAGATGCGAACAAAATGGGCATTTCCACTCACACCACTTTACAGCACACACACACACACACACACACCATCAATACATTTCCATTCCGATCCACTCTGAGCCACTCTGAATTCCAGCCCACCACCACCCCCGCACTCACTTAAACATCATTAAATATGAAAATTCATCTGCAATTTATCAATTATTTATTTATGGCCATGGTTCCTTTTTGCATTTTACGCATGTGTTAATGAATAATTTTCTCGTTTTTCCCCCATTTTGTGTGGCTCCTGTTAACCCATTGTGCGTGACGTGACGACTGTCCATGTGTGTGTGTGTGTGTGTATGTGCTGCCGTTCAATCAATTCGAATTCGAATTCGCTTTTGCATTTTTATTGCACTTTGGCGCATTGAAAGAGAAAGGATGAGCCCAGCGCCAGCTTCAGTTCCAGCTCCAGATCGAGGACGAGGACTCCTCAAATGTCGCACATTAATGCGCTGAAAATGTTGATTGTATTGTTGTTTGTGCGGCGGCTTTTTTTATTGTCCACAAATTGCATGTGGACGAATGTGCGAAGACAGCAGCTGTCCAACCAGCAGACAGAGATCCAAGCAGCCAATCCTGCCCACCCCCCCGTCCGGACCAGATCAAACCAAACTCCCGTTGTCGAGGGGCCCAACACAATTGGGCTTTGTTGTATCGCTGTTTTATACCCTTTTATCGGTTTTGTATGATTTTTTCCCTGTTGTTTGCCAAAAAGGGATTCCTCTTCTTTAAGGTATATGAACTATATGTTGATGGATATGACATTCAGCTGAGAGGGGAGAGATAGCAAGTCTTTCAAGTCGTCTGCGAGTATTGTGATTACCAAAAACCAGTTTAATCTTTTCAGAATCGATGGGAACAGTCCAAAACCTGGTTCGGGTCCCCAATGGTCCCTTTTAAGAGGTTTTTTATGATCTGTACCAATTATTCTCAGCTTGAAGATGGAACATTTCCGAGCCTGAATCATGAGTCTATCTTTTTTCTGTCTGTGATAACGAATGCCTGAAGATAATACACCTATTTCCCATAATCCCTAATAATGCCATGTAGTTGCCATAGCAACGATCGTTTCCGCTGATTCCATTCTATTCGAATTATCAAATATCAATTGAAATGTTCTACAATTATTAAGTATGAAGCATGCAATGTTAACGGTATAATTCTTATTCAACTAAACGAATATCATTCCGCACTCATTCGCTCAAGCATGAAGTTGGTGCTGTTGCAGCTTTTCCTCCTCGCTGTCCTGGTGCAGGGCCAAGATGATTCTGCTGAAAAAAAAATCTTTGAACTCTGGCGAGAAGAAGAGTGCCCCTGGGGATTTGTACGGATGCCCGATCTCACATGCCAGCGACCAAAAGTCGTGGATACGTGGAGCGATGGGTTTGTAGGTTAGGGATGCGCATCCCTTAACCACAAGTCGGAAATTGTTAATAGAGCGCAAAAATGTATTTTGTTAATTTCCAATTAAAAACGCATTCAATCGGTAACCCCATTAATATTTCTTTTGTATTTCTGCTGGCACAAGGAACTGAAAAAACATCGATCTGGAAGTGTATGTAACTCTTCGGTCCTTCTTTACTCCTTGCTCCTCCTCCTCCCATCTGTCTGTGTATGGGAGTATCTGCGTGCCTCTCGGGCCGTGCGTGCGTGGTGACATTTTCAATCAAAATACACACAATTTGCAATTTAAATGTTGATTTCGTTAATGCGGGGCACAACCCAATGGAATGAACGGGCACATATGGCCAGTCTGGGGCCTTGGGCCAGGCCAGAGCTTTGTTATTGAACTGAAATGAATAGTTTATGCAGAAAGTCTGGCCGCGTGTACAGAGTTTGGACAAGTGCCCGCGAAATTCCCTGCCTGGCTGCGTTTTATGACGAAGATGAATTGTAAATTGCATAGCAGATGAAATCAATTTTAATGCGACATTGCAATGCTTATTGCTCATTATATTATGTATACGGCAAATGCTTATTAAGCATTCATTAAAACCGAAACGAACCGCACTGCACTGCACTGCCATCGAGCCATAAATTTTGAGAAAACTGTGGCCAGATAATCGGCTTATCAGCGCCCACACATTCCGATTGCAGGAGGCTGGCTCCACTCTGGTTAATGCAAATTGAGTGTCGGGCAAATTAAATTCAAATCCATCTGAACCGGTATCCGGAGCATGAATTAATATTGTTGCCCCATTGATGAAATAATGTACAAATTCCTTTTGGCAGGCATTTTATTATTAAAACAAATCGAATTGTTCTTCATTTTTTATTGAAAAAAAACCACAAGAGTAGGGAACCCTTTCAGTAATCGTCGGGAGCCATTGCTCTTAGGGATGCTAGGATTTTTTTCTATGAAAATAATCTTTCTTAGCCGCAAAAAGATCCATAAATATTAGACGTTCCGTAACTTTCCATTATATATATTGATTTTTTGTGGCTCTATTGATTAATTTAATTTACTTGGACCCTTAGAGCACCCCGTTCACCATCCCATATGTCAAGAATGGGTTATCAAGCGTCGAATCTATGAAGATGGAATGTTGGAACGTCTATCGGTATTGGTAGAATCGGGAGTGAATTAATAGCGTAATTATTAAAATACTAATACTACAAATCGGAATTGGAGAGCTTTACTTTATCAAAGTTTAACCAGATTCACGGCTGAAAACTTAATGAAAAATATATCTAATTGATTTGTTCATTTA